GAATTTGTTGTTTTTTCTTTTTTACTAATTCAAATTTTCTAATTTATGGACCAATTTTAGTTCATTTCATCCTAAAAACATCGTTGCATATCATTTTTTCTTTTTTTTTTTTGTAAAGATTTGATTAATTTAAGGACATTTTACCAATTTGGAAAAGATAACGTCGGATTATGCGAAACTGTATAATGAAGTAGTAGTGATTAGTGGATCAATTTATGATTTCGATGATAATGACTTCGTTGCTGATTCATCCGGATTGTACTTAAAACGGTTATTACGTTTTTTAACGTCAATTTTTTTCTTTTTTTGAATCGTGAAAATCAATGATAGATAAATTTATTTGCATACTCTTTTGATGGATCAGGGGTTTAAAATAGGCAATATTAAAGTTAGATTTCTTCATCATATTGTGCAAAAATAGCAATATCTCCTTCGATGATGCTTTTTAGGTATAAAGTGACTGTTTGATCTTTCATTTATAATCGGTAATTTATCCGAATCTATCAAAATTCATCTAACTCGGTTGAAATGATCATTTTATTACAAATTCCTCCGTAAAATGGAATGTTTAAAAAAAAGGATTTATTTCCTCAACAAATCAAATTATTTCATTTCATCAAACTCTCAGCACTGCTGAATTTTCAATCTTTCATTTTACTGGAGAATAATGTATTTTTCAAATATACTTTTCATAAAAAATTATATTTCCGAAGGATCATCTCGACGATATAACACCTAACGTAACTATTATTTACGTCTGTTAGTAAACCATCTTTAAAATTTCTCGAATTTTCAAAACAGTTTATAAATTTCCTTCCAGTAATACGACACCAAGTCATATTTTTCGTGTAATATTTCGGTGTAAAAATTCACGGTGGTTGAACGATGAATTACAATGCAACAATGTTAAGTCATTGGATGTGCTATCATTCATTTTACCAAATGTACCTGGTGATTACAATTGTTTGGTGTGTTTTTAGCAATTTATTTTAAGATGAATTAGAAGAAAAATAGTTGTATAATGTAACTTGCTTTATTTTATTACTTTCAGCGAAATAATCAATAAAATAAACTTAGAGTAGCAGAAATATTCCAAGGTTCATAGTATTTAAACAAATTTTTGCTAAAATTTAATTACATCAGTCAATTTTGGATCATTTTTGGATTATTTGGAATTTCAAGCAACAGCAAATAAAAAAACTTCATTTACTGGTAGAAGTTTTCCAAATAAAATTTTGTGCCTTTTTTTTCTAAGATCTTTTATCTTTTGAAAAATTTTACTTTTGTTTTTATTTTATTGCAGGATTCATTGTCCTATTTGACAGCAAATAAGGCTAGCTTACGTGATATTGAATTGCTAACAGGACTGGAGTTTTTACCCACTTCATGGATCCCAGCAGCTGAGCTTTATGATGATGAATTCTCAATAACTTTGCGAACAATGATGCCAGAATATTTGTGGTTGGAAAAGGAACAAAAACGATTCAAAAATGACATGAATTCCAGTCGATACTAATATAAGAAGACCCATAATATCTTCAAAATTTTACTCTGTTTTCCCATAAATTTTGAAGTTTAAAACTAATTGCATCATCAGTAACAGTGTTAATTGTAGTTTTAAGTAATAATAAAAAAGAAACCTATTTATATTCTATTTCAAAATCACTGTTACCAACCATTTACTTTGGAAGAATTAAATTAATCCGAAGATGAAAATTATAATGATAGGCTACACAATTAAACAAATAAAATTTCATGGTAAAAAATGACAAATGCAATAGAGCCTTGCTAAATTCAGTTGCAAAGGATGTGTATTATCCATTATAAACTATATTAATGAATTATAAAATTTCAATGACAATGAAAATTTTCAAAAAATAATATAAATTCAATATTTAACATAACAACGGATAAGCAGTAATAATTTCATTTGAATGTATTCCATTCCAATCTATTCCATTTTCCTTTCTCATCATCATTATCACGAAAGTTACGGAAAATTTATAATTATACAAATAAAATTAGGACTGTTTTCCATGATTCATTGTTCACCATTTATCTCACATATTTGTTTAAATTTACATTCCTTAATTATTTTCCGTTTCAATTCCCATGTTTTTTCCGTTTTTTCCTTTATGTCTATGCACATGTCTTTGTTTAAAAATGCCTTTGTTAGCAATTGCTTAAAATATCTAACTAAATACACATCTGATCTGCTCATTGGATCTTGTTGCGATGTGCATGTTCTGTAATTTGGCACTCAACAGTTTCTAGTGTTTAATATCACCACCTCTCACTTCTTAACGTACATAAGCCTATCCAAAAATAAAAAAGGTTTTGTTCTTTGGACGCCACACCAACGAATTTCCTGGCATTTCTGCTCTTAATCCAACTGTCCAATTATTACCAATTTAAAGTCTATTTGACTTGGTCAATATTAATGTTTAAATAGATCTGCATATTATCCTATCAATAAAGAAGTTCGTTAGTCACTCTCCTACACAAATATCAAATTTATTGTTGCTGAAACTATTCAACTCAGATAATCAAACTTTCACAACAGTCATATTAATTAATTTTCGTTTTTAATTTCGAATTTCAAAATTTGCACAAACTTTGGATTGACAAATTCTATGTTTCCATCGCTAATTGATTATCTTGTCACCATTTTGAAGTGTGTATTTAAAACTTTACTTTGATTTGAATTTAAAATTCCTTTTCAATTAAAATTTTATCATTCTTCCAGTCAGGATTTTAATTATCTCTTTGCTTTCTTTAAAAGGAAAAGAAAACGAAGACAACAATACCAAGTAATTTATTGATATGATAAATGAAATTAAAAGTACAGGAGAAAAATCTTTGAAATTTCATCCCAGAATACAGTGAAAAGGCTTTCAGTATGATTATTTTGGATTTCGTTGCATTATCCAATATATTTAGAGAATCCACAGGATCATATATTAATAGCCCTCAGATCAATGTGATACAAATATAGGCAGATCAGTTAGAGATGATTGTAATCAACAAAAAAAAAAAAAATCACTAATCAAAAAGATGGAGCGGTGAAGTTTCAGATATTAAACCACTACTGGAAATTTTCATATTCTAAAATGACGAAACTGAATTCATCTTATCAAACTGATTTCACATTGTTTCAGCAAAGTAATCGTGTCAATGTTTAAAACACTATCCGAATGAATTTTAAAAAAGAAAAAAATCGTAGAAAAGAATCACAATTATTAAATTGTTATTAAAAGAACCGAATTAAAAGTATGAAATGTATGTTGGGTGCTTGCAATGAAGCGAGGAATAATGATGCAAAAGATTTTTTATTTTTTTAAAGCTACGTAATTAGAATGGAATTTGAATTGTAACTCATCAAGCAAGATTGATACATATTTGTGAAACAGAAATTGAGGAATTTTGTTAGCCATCTTGAAGATTATATAAAAAAGATCAGAGAAATCTGGAATTTGTTTCATGAAAAATCTCAAACAGCAAGAATTTTTCCTTTTTAAAATATTAAACATACAGTATAAATTTTTCCTTTTAAAATTTTAAATATACAGTATAACTCTACTTCACAAAAATTCATGAATTCTATTCAAAAGAATGAAGATAAATGCATAGAAAAAAAAGATTAATTAAAAGAAGAAAAAGTAATAAGAAATGGAAAATAAAAATATATATACAATTTAAACAGTACACTTATCTGTTCAAATACACTATCTATGATTAGTAACGAATTATTTAATTAATCCATAATTGATTAATCCTAAAATGAAAATTATCCTTCCAATAACTCCAAATCAGATTTAAGATGGTCAACAATAACCAATCGATTGTTGGATACAAAGGTATGTTGCATTGGCTTCATTTTATTTGATTCCTATTTTTTTTTCTTTTTTCCTCGATTATATATGATCGCATGAAATAAATGATCTATTAGTGAATAGATTAATCTGTGGGCTTTGTCATTTGGTCACATCATTCATGAAAACTTAGAATGAGGATGAGAAAGGTTGCAGGTTTTATGATGATGAAGGAATAAATAATCCGATGAATTGGATAGTTCCTTTTTAGTTACAATACTGGCAGTACTCTATGAGTGTACTCATCGTTTATAGTGCTAATAATAATTCCTTAATCGTTTCTTAATGTGTTCAATGTTTAATTCGAATGTTTCGTATGCAAGAATTGTTGCATAGCGTTTTTAGTTTTAGTTTGAATTTGTCAGCTTATATAAATATAAGTTTTTTGTGTGTATATAAATATAAGCTTTTTTTTATTATTTTCAGCGAATATGTCGTCTACTGTTGTCGAAGGCCCGACATTGCCAACTTTGGCAGTCTTGAAGGTATACCTGCGTGAGGAACCGCTCTATGGGTATTACAGGATTATCTACAAAATGCAGCGCGTCTGGTATATCTAATTTTAATTCTGAATTTACATAATGGTACTACTACCTATTGAACTCATTGTTAAGTGCAATGGTCAGTATGTTTTTTAGATTAATGAGTTGAGAGCGAGATTGGAGATGCATGAAATTGAAGGACGTGATGATAGCGGCAATATGATCGAGGTCCTCGCGTAAGTCCGCCGACCCAGGAAAAGTTCTTGGAGCATGAGGGCGAGATAGAGCGCAATCATGCGAATGAGGAACAATTCATGCTCCATCTCGAGTACGAGCAACAAGCTATAATTGCAGGAAGATGAACCAGTACCGGTACTGGTTCACGAACAAGGCAGCTTGGATAAGGAGGATGACAGGGACAAGTGTCACAAGAACTGTTCCTCAATGAGGACAGTCTTGGTGTAAGGCAAGAGCGCCTGAAGTTCCGCAACCACAACGAGTAAATTTAAATTCGTTTCCTCTGTATAATTGAAAATTTCATATGGATCATTTCAATAAATTTGAAGGCACCTAATTTCAATTTTTCAGAATGTGAAATATGTCCTAAGGAATTTTGGATCTTGAAAGGATGGTAAACTCACGCTTGCAAAATGCATGCACAGAACAGTGAGCTTAGCTTCTGATACTAATACTCTTGTAAAAGTAAGGATAAGGGCAGTTTTGAAAGTATTGATTACCAACAACTAACTTCTAAGGAAGAAAGCATTTTTTTTGAAAAATTATTCTAAGAAATACAGTACTTTAAATATAACATATCCTATCGTGAAAGTTTCGTTGATGGGTAACCCGTAGGACTGATTGTGTGTGTAGAACGTACTGGTTTAAAGAAGGTTTATTTGAACGAGTGAGATATATCCAAAAGGAAACACAAAATCTTTGATAGGCTTATATGCGTTAAGAAGTGGGAGGCGGTGATATTAAACACCGGAAACTGTTAAGAGCCAAATTACAAAACATGCACATCGCAACAAGATCCAGTGAGAAGATTAGATGTGAATTAGGAAAAGACATGGTTTTAGATAAGTGTTATAAGCAAAATTATTTCCTGTACGAAAGGAAATGCAAGAAAAGAGCTTGGATAAAAAACCAGAAAAACTTAAAAATTCAATGGGAAATAAATGCAAGGAATGTAAATTTAAACAAATATATGAGATAAATGGTAAACCATGAATCATGGAAAACATTCCTAATTTTATTTGTATAAAATTTATTTTAGTTTCTCGCGACATTCGCGACATATCTATTTCAGGCTCTTACCAGAGATGCAGCCATTTCATCGACATGCCGCATGTCACTTCGCTTGAACTGAGGGTAGAAACGAAGAAGCTGAGCACTTTTGTTGCATGTGAGACAACCGTACGACATCTCATGAGATGAGTCCTCATATGGTTCTCCCTCTTGCATCGGTGAGAGAAACTGCTGTTGCAATCGAGCAAACGTTCTACTCACGGCTATAAGTCCGCCATATGATCTTATGGTATAGTGGAGAGAAATTTTTCTTGCATATCGGGCAATTGTGAGGCTTCTCACCGCCATGAGTTCTCATATGCCTTTTCATATGTTATTTTCTTTTCAAATACATTACACAGCGATTTCTCCCTTTTATTCGTACCTTTTTGTTCAATACTCTCTTTTTGGTTTATTGGGTTTAACTCTATCTATCTCTTAACATTTGTCAGCAAATGCATCTGAAATAAATAACTAAATGGAGAGAAGAAAAGATGAAGCATGGGATGAATTCTTGTTGACAACGAGTATTAAAAAACAACTCCAATTTCTTCAGTAAATGTTACCTACCAGCAAATGCTGCCTAATAATATCATATTAAATAGTATCAAACCAATAGACTAATAATTATTTCATTCAACAAAAATGGTTCCTTTGAACATTCTGTGTGCTTATTGCTTGTTGTTAATTTGAATCATTCCATGAAATATGGAGATGAAAATAGAAATCGTATGATAATAGAAATCTAATGAAAAACTTTTCGGGAAGTGGATGTGTTGTGGAATTACGGTTGATAATACGGAAAGGATAAAATGCAGCTGGAACTATTCGTCGATAGTTCGGGCAATAGACAAATGAATGTACTAATGGAAAATGGAATGAAATACCGACAAATGAGTTGATTACAAACAGTAGAAATCGGAATATAGTAACTTATTCCGAATAATTAGTCTCACACAAACTGTAGGTGCATTTACTGAAGAAGATAGCGTCGTTTTTTAACTCCCGTTGTCAGCAAGAATTCATCCCATACTTCGTCTTTTCTTCCCTCTATTTAGTTATTTATTCCAGATGCTTTTGCTGATAAATGTCAACATAACCATTATCATCATCCTATCATTCTGGTTATGCGACATTCCATATCCCACTAATGCTCACTTTGTGTGCAGCTTTTCCCTTTTGCTAATATTTCCTCGATTTTGAAGGTTTGGAAAAATTGAAGCGAAATAAAAGAAAATTGCACAAAAAATATTGCAACGGCTTTACATTAATTAATTTTCACAATGCAATAAAGCATATTTTCATAATGCAATATTGAAATGAAATTATTCAGAGGATTAAAACAGCAACTACTACTATTACATTATTACACGTAGACATAGATTATCAATACAGATAGTTTGTCACTCCCATTTGGATGAGCATTTATACAGACGATACCTGAGCAGTAATATCTAACAGAAGAAGTGGCTGGTCGTTTTTGTCAAACTCTTTTCCACGAATTTTATCCAGTAAGTTTTATTTCATTTATTTCGATGGAAAATGTAAGTTTTTTCGCAAAGTATCGTGTTATGAGAGATTTTGGAATTCCTCGACGAACCTGTAAATGAGCACTTTTTAAAACTAAATTATATTTTTATTCAAAACTACGAACATTGTGAAGACTTCGCTTTGGAACGCTTGGACCGATCTCCATCATGAATAATTTCTTGTGCTTATCGCTTGAATGAGAAATGCGGTTATATTCTACTAACAATGAATAGAAACTATTCTTTTTTCAATGTTAACATTTACCAAAAGAAACTTACTCCGTTACATTCCAAAGCGAAATCTTCACAGTGTTCGTAGTTTTTAATAAAAAGATAATTTAGT